GAACAAAGTCTGTTTTGAAAAGGTGCCAGACGAGGTGTTTATAGATGAACCGGAGAGAGTCTTCATAGATAAGCCTAAGGAGATCTTCTTGGCGGGCCGGAGGGAGACGAACAGAATGGAGTCTTCATAGACGAGCGGGAGGGAATCTTTATAAATGAACGGGAGAGAATCTTTATAGATGAACGGGAAGGCATATTTATAATCGAGGTAAATGATTTTTTTCTGCACGTGAAGACTATTTTACAACATTTCATAAAGACTATTTTTTCGGCTTTATTAAAATCGCCTACCGGTCGACCTGAGGTCTTTATTTCGAATTGTCTTGTATTTTGAACCCCAACTTCCCTTGAGCCAAAATCAAGGCCAAAGGCAATTTAATGAAATACATGACAGAAATCTGTGGAAGATACCATTCTCAAGAATCTTCAATTAAAAAACGAACAATTTTTATTTTTTTACTGACATTTGCCAAATTAATTTCATTGTGTCATTAAACGGCTATCAGAGGTAAGGCGATTTAATCTGAATCTCAGTATCGTTTCATTGCTGCTTGACTGCTGTTTATTTTGTTGTAATTGTTACTCAAAAAATAATAACGTCAAAATAATTGTAAGTCTGTCGCACAACAACAATAATGTGTCAAAAATTAATTTGTTTATCTAATTACGCTCGCGGAAAAATGTTTGTTCAAATGGAAAAATCGATAGAAAACAAAATAATTTTAGGGTCATATTATTAAAATCGTACTTAAGCCAATATTTCGAACTGCTGCAAACTTCTGAGCCTTAATAAACTTATATTACCATTCCTCTATTTAATTTAAGACCAGAGTAAAAATTTCTAACAATGAAAGGAATTGCTTGTGAAACGACAAGATTTTTAACGAGTTTAATGTGTTAAAAAATAATATGAAAATCAATTCTTTCTTTAAAAAGTTCTTTGAAAAAAAAATGAAAGAAAGATCTCTAAATAAAAAATATGAAACAATATTTTTAAGAATCCGCTCTTAAGGTGGAAAATTCTTTGACAAAATATTATGAAAAATATTTTTTTGTAGTCTCTCTTTTACAGCATGATTTTTATTCAAATATTAAAAATGTATTAAAAATTAAAAAATTATTTGAAGATAATGGTTTAAAAATCCATGTTCAATGTCAGAATGTTCTTTATGAATATTCTCTTAAAAATCGGTGTTTAACCTCAAGATGTTTTTTTGAAAACCCATATTGAATGTCAAGACATTCTTAAACATCAACAAATCGTCCTGAGGGTTTTGTGAAAAAGCCTTAAATAAACCATATTATATGCATCAAATTTATTCTTAACAAATCATATTTAGTAACATGATGAAGATACCAGAAGGAGTGGTCCAACATATTCGATCTTCACACCAAGTCTTGATAGAAATATTGGCATGTGCCAAGCTTAAAAATAATCGGATTCTCATTTCGAAATATTGACCCCTTTGTGGGGGAGGTACCAAAAGGAGGAGGTTGATATATTGCCTCTTCACACAAGGTCTTTTGTTAGTAGAAATAATGTTCTGTGCGGATTTTAAAGAAAATCAGATACTTATTTTGCATCCGATGCGGCCAAAATATTAAAGTGTGATGAAAAGAACCGATATTGTACATCTCTGAATCCATCTAAGTTTGATAATAAAATTACTATCTACGAAGTTTAACCAAACCAGATACTCCCTTCGAGAGTTATCGTGCCACCAGCCAGCCAGACAGATGGACTCCCCTAGTTCAACTCCAAATTTTCAAAAAGACCTACAGTCTAAAACCGTTATTTTGATGATATTTCAGTAAAGATTTGAAGCTTTTATACTCCATGAAAAATAGCAAAAAAAAATATAACTGTAATACTTATTGATATTTAAAAAAATATATATTTTAAGAATCACCAAAAATATTTTTATCATGTAAAAAAGCTGTAAGCTGGAACGAATTTGGCAATTCTCAAAAACAATAAAATCCGTTAAAAATTCTGTTAAAATCTTAAAAATACCGAATGAAGCTATTTAGGGTCTATACGACGACATGGACCTGCATAGGTAACTTTTGTCATAAGCCATCACAATATTCAAATGCGAAACTTAAAAAAATCGGTGAATAATGTAGCTAAAATCATCAAAATACCGAATATCGGGAGGTACCGTTACATGGGGGCTATACGAAGACGTGGACCTGCACAGACAATTTATGTCTTAGGCTGTAGTATCCATTACGAGCTTCAAATACCAATTTTGAAACAATTACGGTGAATAATGTCGCTAAAATCATCAAAATACCGAATATCGGGAGGTACCGTTATATGGGGGCTATACGAAGACGCGAACCTGCGCAGACAATTCTCTGTCTTAGGCTATAGTATCCATTACGAAATTCAAATACCAAATTTGAAACAATTCCGGTGAATAATGTCGCAGAAACCATCAAAATACCGAATATCGGGAGGTACCGTTATATGGGGGTATACGAAGACATGAACCTGCACAGACAATTTCCTGTCTTAGGCTGTAGTATCCATTACGAACTTCAAATACCAAATTTGAAATTTTGAAATCAAAATACCGAATATCGGGTGGTACCGCTATATGGGGGCTATACAAAGCCGTGGACCTGAATAGACAATCTCCTGTCATAGGCTGTAACATCCATTACGAACATCAAATACCAAATTTGAAACAATTCCGGTCATGTCATCAGACATAATACACATTTGAGTAAAATAGAATTTTATGCTGATCAAGAATATATATACTTTGTGAAGTCAAAAATGTATATTTCGAGGTGTTACACACGGAATGACAAACTTAATATACCCTCCATACTATGTATGCTGGAGGGTTTAAAAATCAACATTTATGGCTAGTGATAAACTTGATAAAATATTCTTTACATCTGTGATCATAGAAATATCTACGTTTATAGCTGTGATAAAACTTTTAAAATATTTTTGAAAATGCATGTTTGCAACTTGCAAAGTATTCTTAAAAAGTTCACATTAAAACCTATGATATTGCTTCCATAAATATTCTTAAAAAAATATTTATGTTTTTAAAAATCTACACTTATATCTGTGATTTTCCCTAAATAATAATTTTAAGAGTTCAGTTGTGATATTTTTGGATTTTTTTTAAAAGCCCAGAGTTAGAAATATTTTTAAACTCCATACAAAAATAACTTTTTTCGAGTGTTTTTACCGCCCAAGTACAATTACCCTCAGTACTTTTAGCGAAAATAATTCTCCCTAGCAATTACACATCAACAGCAACAAATCATATTTTTTTTTTTTTTTTTTTTTTGTTATTAGAATATTTTCACTGTGTTATCATTAATATGGACGCCATCCCCTGAATACGGAATAAATAAATACCGAGGGAAAATATTTCTTTGCAGTTAGTTTTGTTGCTGTCGATGTGCCAAATTTGTAGATTTTTTCGTTAGTAATTATTACCCAAATATAAGAAGACAGAAAAAACGTCGAGTTCCCTACCGTGTTGCTTTTGTTGTATGCTGATATTCAAAATGAATACCTCAAAATTTTGGCCACTTTGATGTCAGTCAGTAGAGTGCGGTCTGAGCTTAAAAGCGGTTGCGTTGTTAATACGAATACTTTTTCAAGGTGGCGGTCTAAATTTTTTGGAGAACAAAAATGTAAAAAAAGATAAAACTTTCTACTAAGAAAATAAAGAAGATTTGTTTTAACAAAAAAGGAAAAACAATAACAAAAAGAGTGTTAATTAACAACAACGCCTACACAACGAAACGTAAAGTGTTATGAGCAATGAATACAAATTAAAATGGATGATTTTGAAATAAAATCAGATAAAAAGTGAATTTCTCGCCCTCGAAACGAAGAAAAAATATTAAAGTGTCTAAAAATTATCTTTTACTGATGACCTGAAATTTCCAAAATTTATTTTCCATTGCATTCAAGTGATCGCATCAAATGTTCAATAACAAATAAATATTTTTTTATTGGGGAATAAAAAATAATTATTGATTGAAGCATTTAACGGAGATGCGTTAAGTGTTGAATTTTAAATCTATTAGACACGGTGTTAATTTGCGTCACTTATTGTTCTATGTCAATACGTTTGCTGTTGAACTAAATGAAAACTATTGTTCAGCATTTAAATGGTCTTTACATTCAAACAAAGATAAATAAGGGAATCCCTCGACCTTGATTCCAACAAAAAAACAGATTTAGTTACCTTCTTTACATGCGATTGGATAAAAACCGGCTTCTGTCTCAAGGAGAAAATGAATTGCAAGTTATCTCAAAAACGTGTAACAAAAACGTTAATGGGTATTCTAGGACCTATCTCAATGTAAAACAAATCTTACAAATGATTTTCTGCATATAAAGGTATCATTTACAGGTCTTTTATAGTCATTTAATCTTTCAAAAGGTCTTCTGTGAGCAAAAGTTTTTCTATCCATAGAAAGTCTATAATCAGATTTTTATGAATAAATATATATTTTTTGAAACAGTGTTGGCATTTTTGTTTGGGATACCGTAGTTATTTTGTTGTTGCAAAATAGTTAGGCTTAATCCCATAATTGTTGTTTTATTTTGTTTACATATATTGGATTTTTAATATTTTTTAGGCAAATGCGGACTATATAACTATGGGTTTTAAAGAATAGTTTTTTTTTTTTTTTCAAGAAGTTTCAAAGTTGTTTAGTTCTGGGTTTTTAAGGAATATTTTAATAAATATCTTAGCCATAAGAGCAGACTATTGAGAATATTATAATAATAATATTTTTAAGAATACTTATATATACAGGGTGAGACAAAAAACTGCAACAAAGACAAACGCCATAATTTTTTTTTAAATTTTATTGAATTAAAGCAAAAAATGTCGGAAATAGCATCAAATTTTAGAATAAGTTTAGATTTGTTCGAATAGGTCACCTTTGGCACGAATTATGGCGCGTCATCAACATTAGGTTTTACAATAAGAAAAATAAGATCTTTTGCTTTCTAATTTTAATCGGGGTTGTTTATATATTTAGGACACCGACATACGCTGGAGTTGTGCATGGAAGACCAACATCCAGCAGCCCTCCTCCATTTTATACATTTATGTCCATTTTACATTAAATTATCAGTATTTTACACTCAATTGGTTTTGAAATGTATATCTGGGCTTGTCTGTTTATAAAATAATTGCTCATATGTCCATATGAGATACCTTATGCAGAATTCTACTTAAAAATTTCAAAACGATATTCTATCTATTGAAATATTACCTTTCAACTTTTTTTCTTATATCGGCAAATTAATACTTCAACATTCTTCAGCATCCTCTGTGATATTTCCCAAATATATCTTTGTATTGAATTTAAACGACATTATTTCGTTTCCCTTTTGCGGTCAGAATATTATTCATCATTTTGTTTAAACAGCTTTGAATTCATGTCGTCTTCGTGTCTAAATGTCTAAACGTTTAGTAAACTTTTACTTCGAATAACATTCAGAGAACTCGCCAACAACAATTGTGAAATGATTCAATATCAAATGTTGCTATTTACTTCCATAGCAATTTGTTGCAACCCAGTTAAAGCGGCAATAGCGGCCGATTCGGTTTTAAAACAAAAACAATATTATTTGCGTAAGTATTGAACAATTTGTTTAGTTTTTTGTCAACAAATTTTCTTGGGAGAACTTCAGAAAATTGTCATAAGAAACAAAGTGTCCCCGCACACTTTTATAAATATTTTTTGTTAAATGTATCAACGGAAACTATTGTTAAGAAGATTTTTCAGATACTTTCATAGTCTTTGTTCTTTAAATATGTTTTTCGAGGACTCTCAAACCCATATTCTGTTTTTTTTTTTTTTTGAAGATTATTAAGTGAAGAATAGTTTATTTTTTAAAAAATTAGTTTCAGGGAATATGCAGTTACAATCGAATAATTTTTTTCAAAATAGTGATATTTTAAGAAAAAATTCATTCATCATCATTTTCCGAAAATTATTGGAAAAATCGAGCAGAATATGAAATTATAGCTAAAAAAAAAGCTTCCACACTTTTGGATTAAAATTCCTCGGAATCCGTGTATTTTAGATATATAGTGTCTGCGGCAATATTGCTGATAAAAATACGAGGAATGTTTTAGCTAAAACTTTCAAGCGAGTCAACTAAGGGGACTTTTTGGTTCTTTTTTAAAAAAAGATAAAAACTTCCTTTAAACGAGAATTAGCGTTAGTAACGTGTTCTACAAAATTATTTGTCATAAAATTCTACTATAGGTCCTAGAGGACGTCAAAAGTATGAATCTACTCTTAACACCAGCAAAAACACATTTTAAACCGTTACTTTTTGTGATTTTGTGCAAAAATCTCCAATAAAGCATAATTTTATAAGCATGCTATCAAAGACAAAAATATTCTTCATCAAATTTTACCACAAGTCACTAAATAAAAGAAATTTCGAACCCTCCACCTTAGGGTAAAGGAAAAATTTTTATATAAATGTATTTGAATTAAAGAGTGCTCCACTTTAAACTACAAATACCAGTAAGATCTTTTGCTTAATACAGTTGGACTTATCAAAAACCATAAAGAGAGTGAAGCCGTTATATGGGGCCATACCAAAACGTGAACCTCTCCAGACAATTTTATACTTCAAGGTTTGTCATCTATCAAATCTTTTAAACTACCAAATTTGAAACAATTTCATGGGTAAATGTGACTAGGATTTTCAAAATACCGAATATGGGGGGTATCAGTTTATGTGCGCTATAGGAAAACGTGAACTTAAATATTCAATGTTTCGCCACCGGAGCTTGAACCCATTATGACCCAAACAAAATCATCAAAATACCGAATATCGACAGGTACCGTTATACCAAAACGTTAGCCTATACATGCAATGTTTCGCCAACGGAGCTAGAACCCAAGGCCAACAAATTCCATTTTTTATACAAACCCATGAAAAAATGTGGCAAAAATCATCAAAATACCGAATATCGGCGGGTAACTTTATATGGGGGCTATACCAAAACGTGGACCTATGCATACAATGTTTCGCCACATGAGCAAGAACCCATTATGACCTACAAATACCAATTTTTATACAAATCTGTGAACAAGTGTGGAAAAAATCAACAAAATACCGAATATCGAAAGGGACTATACCAAAACGTGACCGATATATGCCATTTTCAATACCAACCATCCTGCGCACAATACAAATTGTTCTGCTAAATTTTGACGCTCTACGGCAAGTAATATGGGCTGTATCGTGATTTCAACAGACAGACAGACGGACATCGTTATATATACTTATATATATATATATATATATATATATATATATATATATATATATATATATATATATATATATATATATATATATATATATACTTATATATCCTTGACGTGGTCTACGATGAATATTTAGGGATGTTACAAACGGAATGACAAAGTTAATATACCCTCCTTTCCAAGGTGGAGGGTATAAAAATTGCATAAATGTTCCCAAAAAAAAAACTGCAAATATTTTTTTTATAAATGTTTTCTCGGACATTTTTTTCGAGTTGACGCCTGAAAGTAACATAAAATTTGGTTTTGGGCGGAAGATGTCAAAAGAAGAAATATTCTGCACAAAATTTCACTATGAATCTCGGTATAAACCATAAATCTAGGTGCGATAGTTTATGTTTACATTACATTCAAAATGTATGTACTAAGATTGAAAATTATGTTTTTACTTTTTCAACTATTAATTTATGTATATATCCAAACAGAGTCAAAATCTACCTTTTTACTTCATTATTTGAGGAAAGTGTCAAAGTAAGAATTATTCTAGATCAAATTTCATTTCGAGTTTCTGAACAAAAATATATCTGTACTTAATATGTGCCATAAAAATTAGCATAAAATTTTGGTTCATAAAAAACTTGTTTATTCCTGAAAAAATTATCATTTTTTCACAATTCGGTACAAATTTGTTTATAGTTTCACGATACAATAGATGGTCGATTAAGATTTTTTCAAGGACCATCATATCTATAATCGTAGTTTTCTAAGAACAGTTTTCCAAATTTATAATAAGTAATGATTTTGCAAACTCCCACTGCCGTAAGTTTGGGAAGTATTTTTCCATTTTCAAAAGGTCTCAATATAATAACCGGACATTTTTAAGAATATCTATTTCTATGAATATCTGCTTTTTACAAAAAATTGTGAATTTTAAGAATAATAATTTGTAGGAATTTTCTCGTTACAATTTTCAACTTTTGCCGATCAATCAGGAATCCAGTTATACTTTAATTCCCAATTATTTCCATATCGCCCTCTTCACTCCTTCCAGCTTACCAAGATGCCCGCGAAGCCGTCATTCAAGCCGAAGATCTCCTCAGTACCGGTGGCCGTTTACATTTGAATAGTCGCGAATCAAAAGTAGATGAAATTTTTCTAAAATATAAATACGATGAATTGGCCAGAGGATTTCGTGACTCCGATCGAAATCCAGCCGCCATGCATTTCTTTAAGGCCAAGCCGCTAATCGAAAGAAGTAAAATTTTCCATTTTCTACAACAAATGCCCAAAGGAGCTCTGCTGCATACGCACACATCAGCAACCGTTTCATCCAAGTGGGTGGTGCAGAATATCTTTCGAATGCCAGGACTACTGAGATGTGTTAAGAGCGATGGCGTAAGTATATTGAGTTTTAGACGCATGCCCGAAAAGCACAATTGTGCCACACAATATGTATCGGTGAGCGAAGAGAGAAGTCGTTCAGCTTCAGCTGCAGAATATGATAGGGCATTGGAGAAACTCATTAATTTGTATACGCCTACGCCGGAATGTGAGTAAATTCTTGTTTGAAATAGTTTTTTAAAAAATAATATATATATTTTTTGTCAAAAATTTCCAGTAGAATATTCTTCCATTAATCGAGTTTGGTCGAAATTCCAAAACATGTTTAGCACCATATCCGATGTGTTGCTCTATATACCGGCCTTTCGAACATATCATTGGCAAATGATGGAAGAAATGTACAACGATAATATTATGTACGCAGAAGTTCGCATGAATTTCTATGAGGTGAATTTTGTTGTCATAGCTTTTATAAGAAAGTGGAATATTTAATTTCTTATTGTTCTATTTAGTTATATGATATAAGTGGTCGCATCTTCCCGGCCGAACGTTGCATTACCGAACTCATCGATGTCATTAGAAAATTTAAACTCCAGCATCCTGACTTTTTGGGCATTAAGATTATTGTCTCACCTCATCGCAATGCCGAGCCGGATGTAATGCGTAAACGTTATGAAACATTTAAAAAGTACAAGTAAGTATGATTTCCACTTTCTATTTACATAGAAATTGCATTCAACAACAATCAAGACAGACCCAAACTATATATTCATGATTTTTTCCAAGTATATTTTCAAGGCCTATTCTGCCATAAACGTGGAATGCTTTAGAATATTTTCACAATGAACATCAAGGCATTATTATTTTATTTAAATAATATTTGGTTATCGTACACATCTAATTTGTTGTCAAATGTATAATTTGGAAAAAATAAAAAAAATAAACATATGTGCATATCATAAAGGGAAATCGGTTATTGTAGTAAAATCATGTACATTCTTGCAGTCCTGATCAGACCAATGAGTTAAAAGTTTTAAACATAAAAATGCAAATGCATTTTTTGTAAAATAAAAAATGAGTAAATTTGTTAAGAAATAAGTTTTGCATTGCTCCAGAATTGCAAGAATGTAAACCTACGATAATCGATTTTTCCTTTATTATATCGAAAATATTTGCAAAACAATATTTGCAGGATCTGGAACAGAGCAAAAGTTATTTTCTTAGTAAATTTACTCTTTTTTTATACAAAGAATGCATTTGTTTGTTTCGTTTTTATTAAATAACAAAAGAAATTCTAACAAATTTTCAATCGATAAAAGTTACAGAATACGCCTACTGAACTATACAATTAAATTTGCTATTGGAAGCACCTTCTCTTAAGCAAATTTATCATACATTCTCTAATAATATTTTTAATGACAAAAATTATTAATTGTTCCTACAGTTCCATGTATCCCAAAGAATTGGTTGGCTTCGATTTGGTGGGTCAAGAAGATAAAGGAAAGCCTTTGCATAATTTCGTGAATGTTTTGCATGATCTACCGAAAAGTGCCAAATTCTTTTTCCATGCTGGGGAAACAAGTAAGTGAAGTACGAACCCCCCCACTTTCAATTAATTTGATCTCTTTCTTCAAATATTTACAGATTGGTTTGGTGCCTCAACGGATTATAATCTGCTGGATGCTGTACTCTTAAACACAACACGTATTGGCCACGGTTATGCATTGATGAAACATCCGGTCTTGTGGAATGCTGTTAAATCCCGTGATATTGCCGTGGAAGTTAGTCCCATATCAAACCAAGTATTGAGCTTGGTTTGGGATCTGCGAAACCATCCAGGCTCTTTATTCCTGGCCCAAAATATACCCATGGTTATATGTAATGATGATCCTGGATTTTGGGATGCCAAAGGATTAAGTTATGACTTCTATTATGCCATTATGAGTTTGGCACCCAACAATGCTGGCCTAAAGACGCTAAAGCAATTGGTTTGGAACTCGGTGAAATATTCAACATTTGATGCAAGCGAAAGGCAAAGGGCCTATGCTCTGCTGCAACAGAAATGGGATCATTTTATTGATAATGTCATTAGTGGTCTAGTAGTATAGGGAGAAAAAGCAAAAATGACTATGAAAAGAATTTAGGTATTATGTTTTATAATATAATTTAATTTAAAATAAATAAAAATAATTAATAATTTATGGCATTTGCATTTAGTAATTATTAAAAACAAAAATACCACGGTCATTATACGAACTAAGTATCTTACGTCAGAAAAGGCAACCAAGTATTCATGCTGTCCACAATAAAAAACGACCCGACCGGGTTACTCTAACAGAATTCATTGCGTAAGAACAAAAACAACAAGAAATTCAAGTTTTGTTTTTAGTAGTAGTTTCCTATTAAATTCAATGCAGAAAAATACTGTTATTATTCTTTCCTAGATTTAGATTAATCTATTTTTTTTTCTATAAACACAAGGGCCAAAAATGTGTAATTGACATGGGCTTCCTTCAATGATTGTAATTTTAACAAAAGTTCTATAAGAAAGATTTTGAATTCATTGTGTTTACTAATCTAAAATGTTTAATAGCATTCCTCCTTTCACACACACTCCAATGCTTTAGCACCCTCTTCTTGTTCTTTTTTGATTTCACCACCAACATTAGGATCATCATCCGCATGTTCGACATTATCATATCGGTGTTTTTCAATCAACTTTAAACAACTTGCATAGATTTGATCGAAGGTATCACAGAACGCCGACATTCCCTTGCTCTAGATAAGATATATGAAATACTATTATTTTGTTGTCTTTCAAAACACAAAATCGTTAATTACTTACAAAGTAAGGATCCTTAATAATTTCCATTTCATAATTATCCAAATAAGTCCCCAGTAAACCGACTTTAGCTCGACAGTTTTTACCAGCCATATCAGCCATTAGTTGCAGTTCATTTAGATTAGTTTCATCCATGCCAAGAATGTAATCAAACTTTTCAAAATCTTCTTTTGTTATCTAAAAAGGAAAACAATTAAAAAATGAAAAATATCTCAAGTTTAGAAATTGCATTGCATTTTGTAAGAATTCATTGCATGGAAACTATATACAAATGGTTTCGCAAGAAGTTGGTTTAGCGAATTCGATTTTTAATTTTCGATTGACAAGTTATCTTACAAAGACAACAGGTGCTGACATACCATTCGTCCGTAATGCTTCAATTTTATACCATGATCTTCAAGTACTTTTAAGCAGCGGCCCTCTGGTTTTCGACCAACATTCCATGATCTTAATGCTGCACTATCAACAAACCAATCTAAATTATTTTTCAAAACCAAATGTTTTAGAATTCCTTCGGCCATTGGCGAACGGCAGGTGTTACCTAAGAGAGTTAAAAAAATATTTTTAGAAATGAGACACTCTAATATACAACAAAAATAAAATATGAAGTATACCCACCGATACAAATAAACAAGATTCTCAAGTGTCCCATTGTCTCACTGAAATAAAATCACAAATTTAACAATTATTTTTTTACAATTGTAGCAAATGAATAGAATTTAAAAAAATATTTTATACAACAAAAGAAAAATATAAAAAAAAACTACGTAATAACAATAGTTTGACAACAAATTCTGGTCAATTACGAATGTCATATGAACGACAACCTGTTTCAAAAGAATTGTGAAAATTGAAAAATCTTCGTATAAACATATGAGAATGAAGTGCAAGTAAAAGGGAAAATAGGCAAAATATATGCAGTGGCAAAAATGAAATAATTCACGTAGACGATATAATAAATGTACTAAAACATTTTAAATTCAATTTAGTCAAGTCATTGCGTTAATTTTAATACAATTACTAGTTGCGCTTTATATAGTACAACCTTGAAACAAATTCAGAAACATAAAATATATAAATTTTGATTTGCTGAGTTTCAGGTTCAAAAGTGATCTTTGTATAGATATTTAAGTAGATATCTTTTGCATTTTTTCTCCCCTTAGAAAATTTTCTTCCGAAGGATCTTGTAGTATTTACACATGCAAATAACATGCAGCTAGTTAACTTTCACCAGTATAAAAAATTACTACTAGAACAAATCAATTTACACTTTTTAGGATTTCAGCTGCTTATTGCTTGTAGCGAAGTTTTTTCAACCACTTACAATTGAGAACGAATTATTAACACGTCCAAATTGTAGGTTAATTGTACTTGTTGATTAGAACTGAAGCATATTTTATTGATGCCTTTTCAAATCCGAAAATGCATATTTGAGCCACATACAAATATGTCCAAGTTTATATTTAAACGATTTAAAGGATAAAGCGATTTTGTAAATGAACGACGTACCGTGTTCCAAAACGACCCTATAAAGTTAATGCAAAGTCATCATTTTAGGATGCACATTACTTTAGGATATATGAAAAAATTTGGGGTAACTCTCGTAAGTCAAATTTCGACTGTATATCAAGAATTTGGTAATATTTTTTAGGTAATCTAAATAAGTTGTTTCGATTTAATATATGCATCGCGAATATTTTTTATTCGAAAGTCAATAGTTTCGGAACTGCTATTTACATGATCCGCATAAGTAACACGTATTTATTTATTTTAGGCAAAAAGTTAACGAAAACATATCATTGCAGATCTTAAAATTGTGTATTTTTCCATAATATTTGTGGGTAATAATTCAATATTTAAAAAATGTGTATTTTGAATGAATTCAGTACTTTTAAATCTATACATATTAAAAACTAAAAAAATGAGTACTTCAGTCGATTTAAACGTGTACTTTGTATTTCACGAAACTAATAATGTCAACTGCAATTTTAGTTTAGTTCTACATTGATTTTCCATTAAAGAGCTTTTCTTGCAAAAAAAAAAAACTTTTGCTGCAAAAACAGTTTTATAAATAAAGCTCTACTAACCACAAATATGCAATTTCAAATAGAAATTGAAGTAATTATCGATTCTATCTAATGTGTACTACATCGTCAATGAATACGACCTTAGACTCAATTTGAAACAAATTAGTACCAGCATATTCTACTCGTTATTCTATTCTAAAATTGTGCAATTAAATATTTTTTAGTTTGTTCATCAACGTTTGCTCTATTCCGCTAAGTATTGCAATGTTTTACACAATTTTTACAATACTAATATTAAAAAAAAATAACAATCCTATTTTAGCTATAACTTCCGAATCAATCTGAAACAGTTTTTGCTCCAATGTTGTAATTTGTTGATGACAATTTGAAAATGCTGCACATTTAAATAGATGTTTAGATTTAAGACCGATCCAAGAGTTATAGCTATACTATGATTAAGCCAAAGAAAATAAAAATACGAAAACTAATTTTTGACCATTTTTTACATTTTTAAAGTATATGATATTTATTTTTTTAAACTTCCACTACTGTAACTCAAAACGTTTTATAGGTATCAACAAATATATATTATTTATAACCGAATATTATCACCTTATATTTCATTAGCCAAAGCCTTCTTAAGGAAGGCATCACAAGCCACCACGCACTGTTGATAGGCCTTCTCAAAGCCGGCATCACCACGTTGCTGTCGAATAAATAAAAAATAATTTAATCCTTTTTTCCCAAAAGAACACAACAAATCCTCAATAAACACTTACATAATATGGATCTTCAATAATACGTTCAGCCTTGGGTAAACCAAAGTCACCCAACATTAGTAGTTTAGCCTTGGAGCCTTTGGGTGCCCTACTAGCCAAATCATCCATATTTTCTTCATCCATACCAAAAATGTAATCGAACTCTTCAAAATCTTTCGATTTAATCTGACGTGCTCTATTGGTATAGGGCAAATCATGTTTTTTCATTGTACTCAAGGCGCGATGATCTGGCGGATTACCAACATGCCAACCTCCAATGGCAGCACTATCAACTTCCCATTCAGCAGATACTCCAGCCTTTTTAATAGTATCCACCATAACGGCCTCGGCGATGGGTGACCGGCAAATGTTGCCTGTAGGAAAGAAATTTAATTAGCATAGCATAATTAGGAACTGTATATAACCGCTTACCCAAACATATCATTAAAATCTTCTTAACCATTCTTATTATGGAAAATTCTGGATTTTATATCTATATATATTCTTCTGTGCCCAATTCAACACAACTTGATCTATCTTCTTGTTAGGAGGTTGTACATCTGTGGGAAACCAAAATAAAAGACGTCCCCGCCGAGTGACCGCGGTTGTTTATGAATGAGACATAAGGAAAACGCAATCAGCTGATGAATTTTGTTTTGTAGGAAATGGATGTTGCCATATCGCTCTTAAAGTCAAATAGAGAATGCTAAGACAATGTCCCCACTATCTGTTATCTGTACTATCCATGGTAGAAGAATATAGGTAGACACATCGACACAGCATCTGGGACACTGAACTGTCAAACCAATTTTCGGAATTAAAAATCTTGAATGAAAAATTATTTAAATTTGTAAAAATTGTTGAAAAACGCACAGTATAATGACCTCCGAATGATGTCGTATAAGAAAAAATACAAAAATCTACTTATATTTGAAAAAATATTAAATTTTTTGACATATCAATGTTCCCAAGCGTTGATGCATCTACCTATATTCTTCTACCATGGTACTATCTGTGTGCGATGTCAAATGTGCAACTTTCTGGAAAAAGCTATATCAATTTTGATTCTACATATTTATTCTATATTTTCTTGTGCCATATTCATGGTAGAATAATACAGGTAACAGCAAGTGTTGTTGTACAACAATCGTAACAACAACCACATACAAATTTGTTTTTATAAGTAATACAAGTGTCAGAGTTATGTGTCCAAAATTGTAAACAAAATAATTAATTTTCAATAAATTATTTTAATTTCAAAAATATACATTTTTGGTATTTGGATTATTTAATTGAAAATGCAGAAGAATTCTTCTTAAAATATTTAATTTTAATGCTACCGCATCATTCCCATGAATGTATAGTTGTTAGCTGTTGTTCCTAATCTCTCAACGCTTCAAGCAATCGCTAGAAAATCGGGGAAAAGGCAACATCCCTTTCAAGTTGGAACCAAACAGCATACATACATAAAGTATTTTACATTTTGCAATTTTAGGAAACATGAAATATGCGAATATATTATCTAACGTGGTATATTTCTATTATCAGGCAAAAATATGTTGACATTTTTTTTCCTGCAGTGAAAGTTTGTATCAAAGATAGTGTATATTTATTATATACAAGAAAATAATCGAATCACAAAACGAATTTGGCACTAATATTACCATTGGCACTAATATTACTATTAAGTCAAATCAGTTTTGGTTTGCTACTTACTACCAGTAATATATACCATGGTAGATATCAACGCTTGGGAACATTAATATGTCAAAAATGTTTAAATGTTTTGTCAATAATAAGTATATTTTTATACGTTTTCTTATACGACGCAAATCGGTAATTTTTACAAATTTCAATAATTTTTCACTGATATATTTTATTTCCAAAATCGGCTTGACAGTTCATTGTCCCAACAGCTGTGTCGATGCAATTACCTGTATTCTTCTACCATACTACCTCCTAAACACAAATTTTTTTTTGGTGCCCCTATTCTGTCAAAACATATATGCAATTTGTATATGTGTGTATTATTTTGAATAAAAAAGGAAATAATTTGAGATTATTTCAAATTAAGATGCAACAGTAATGAAAATTTTCCACGATAACTGGCAAAAATTGTATAATTTTGGAATAAAACAATATTATTCCTCTATTTTAGACTCAATTTTGTGGAAAACCCCAATAGTCCATCCATGTTTTCTGAGTTTTCCCCAGTATATTATTTTTGTGAAAAATGTTGAAAGTATTTGATACAATAAGGCTTTGATCTTGGTAAAATTATTCATTTCAAATAAACATTCCACCTCTGCATTTTCCGTAACTTACCTTGGCAAATTTCACTGCATAGAAAATAGGTTCACATCTCTGATATGAAAGATTAATTTTGAAAAAAAAAAAAAAAAATGGTAAATATAAGATTGCATGACCATTCATAAGGTGTGAGTACATAACCAGCTTGAAGTCTTCGCATGGCATATTTTAAGACATATCATAAAGGAATTCCAGACCCGCACTCAAATCCTGCCGTCGTTTTGATATTAATATGCCTAGCCATTATGATTTATGTTATAAACAGCGCACGGAAATAAACTATATCAATCGTTTGCAATCTTTTCGTTATTTTCGTTACGTTATTTTTTTTCGTTTGTTTTCGTTCGCTGGACATAAATATTGCCAATTTAAATTTTGAGGCATCAAAAAAAGTTTTGTGCATTTGAATTGAAAATTTTGATCGCAAAACTTTCCAATTTTTGAAAAATATCTCAATAAAAAAATAATTATACAAACTTTTATCAAAAATTTTGAGAAATTAAATTTCGAAGAAAATATCAAATTTCGTGTAAATCTAACTTACCAGTGCTAACAGATGGCTTGTGAGTATTTTAATCCAAAATTCATAGAACACTTCAAAATGGAGTTAGCTAGACAATGTTTAAAGATTACGAAGCGTTGTTTTTATTTCTTATGATACAGTTTTACTCAAATCATGGGTAAATTCCTGGGATTTCCCTAATTTAGTCATGATATTCTTAATATAACTATTCACAATGTCTAATAAATCACAATTGTGTAGAAAACCGTTAATTAGGCAATCAGTCTGGCAACGCTATCACATTATCTCTCCTCTCTCTTTAAGCAAAATCGTCATACTCTTTCCACGTTAATTCGTAATGATGAAGAAGAAGAATGTTTTGATACTCTCTGCCACCGTCCGTCCAACACAAAGATGAATTTTTCTTTGTTAGGGAAACACAACATACAACTCGCCTAACACAAATACGCCAAATACGCAATAGAGCTAGTGAGCTAGTGCATAGAAAGCATAAACATAAACACGGAAAATAAATAAGAAGTAAAAAAGGCAACAGAAAATTAAATAATTCCAATTTTAATGAACAATTTCAAGGAAATCTTCACAGTGACTTAGACGGCGAGACGAGAACGTGAGTGTGGTGAACAAATATGTCGTGGTTTAATGTGTGGGATGGGCTGAAGAATAAGACGTGTCGTTATTTACTACAAAGATATTTGGGACAGTTTCTGGATGAAAATCTGAATTTGGAACAGCTGAATATTGAACTCTACAATGGCAAGGCCACAATCAAAAATGTGTCGCTACGCGTTGAGACTCTTAATGAGTTGTTGGAGGCACAGGGATGGCCATTGGAATTTACAGATGGGCATATAGGCCAGTTGACATTGTCTGTGCCGTGGAACGCCCTGATGACAAGTGATAGTGCCATAGAGGTATCAGATGTTGTACTGTGTATTAGGCCCGTCAAACGGGAGCATGATGGAACCTCAATGATTGAATCAATGTGGTCATCGGTTAGCAGTTCTTTACAACTCGCCGAGGAATATATGCGTCAAGAAGAGAATGAGTCAGAAGATACGAATGCCACACACACCACAATAGGTGGTCTAGAGAAATTCGCCGAGACCATAGACAATGTCTTGAATCGAATTAGGGCAAAGTTTACAAATATAACAATACAAATCGAACACCCATTGGTGAGTACGCTCAAAGGTATTGCGTTTAAGGTGCACCTGGAGGAGCTGTTGTACAAAAATGAAACTGGCAATGAGAAAAGTGCCACGACACAACAGCAGCAGCAACAACAACACCAGGGAATAGACAGTGCCGCGGACATCATAAATCGCATACCCACATACACAAAGCACAACATAAGCTTGAGGGGTGCACATATTAACACACAAGAATTGAAATCGCATTCCGAGGACTGTGGCAATAGCAATCAGCAAGATATACCCTTGCTACAGCTGAATGGCGAACAAAGCGTCCAGGTGAAAATAAAGCAGTCGGAAGATGTAACAGGGCCAAAAATCTACTTCTACATCGAATTAGGTGGTATCTGTGGCATATGTTCGCCACACCAAATTCAAATGATACTGGAGTTTATAGAGGCATTTACTGACGACCTTAACCCTAAAAAACAGCAGCATTCCAATGAGGTGGTGCATGTTCCAGCAGAATCTGCGGAAGGCTATGAGAATTTATCAATGGGAGGTGGTGGCATGCTCAGCAATCAATCAGCATGGATAAGTGCAGACGATCCTCCTCCACCCCATCACATACAATATGCGAATGCCATGCACAGGAATCTACACAGTAGCCAAGATAAATACTGTGAATCGTTAAGCTCTTCAATGAGTTCACGTAGCACTCTAACCAGCGTATCACGTTATCAACGCAAACCCACAAATTTGGATTCATCAGGGGAAATTTCTAATTTTGTGGTAAAGATAGCGTCATTTGTGTGGGTAGTTTTGCAGGAGGATATTTTGGTGGAATCTGCATCGAATTACTATGAAAGCCTGTACAATGAGCAGAGTGTAAATGAACAAACAAATGTGTCACAAAAATTTTTCGAACTGGTTCAACAGGTGGGGCCCCATGATCAGGAGTCGAGTGGTCATCAAAAAGTATTCTGCGACAAAAATCACATTTTGGTGCGCATGCAACCTCTGGTGGCAGAGGGTAAACAGAATCGTAACAAAAGTCTCTTACAATTCAATGCCACAGTGTCGGCCACCCAATTGGACTTTTGTGAAGTCCTGGAGGGGAAGATAACCGAATTGTTGTCATTCAATCAGCGTAAACGCACACGTGAGGGCCAAGTTAGGTCGGAGTTAAATCTAAACATTAACTCCATAAATTCTAATAATTTCAAGAATAAATCATCGACGACAGTCGGTTTTGACTTGGCTCCATGCACATTGGAATTTGATGTATCTATTATAGATCGTTTAGGTGCCTTGTTTGCTCAAACACCAACAAAGGCATGCGCCAAGGCTCCATTGAATGATAGTGATGTTGCGGTTGGCACCAATACCACCATAAGTTTGAGCTGTTCCAATTTGGATATACGTCTAAGATTTCCTATTATCGATGCAAAACCTGCACATGATCCGGAACGTATTCCCTGGTGGAAACAAAATATTAGACCCGATTTCCTACTACTCTCCCTGGAGCAAATGAATGTTAAATATTGTCTGAATAAAGTGAATTTGAGCTCGAATGAAATAAACATATATTACTGTGAAGAAGAAACCAAAAAGACCCACATCGTAAATACTCGTGCTGAGAGTGGCAAGGATTCCGCCGCTCTTGAATATCCCACTCTATGCATAGACATAAAAGACAGCTATGTCTTTGGCAAGGATGAGGAACCGCGTTTGCCTTTTAGTTCGAAACGGAATTGTCGCCAGAGTAGCACTGCCCAGCCCAGAATGGAATCGGATGTAACTGAAACTATTTTACTGCCAGGTGAAACTCATGAAATCAATGAATTTTGCCAAAAATCGATGGCCTCGTCAGTGATTGGAATACGTATTAGTTTACCCAGCCTTAATCTCTTTTTGGAATCTAAGCAATTGTTTGAATTGTTGTATAATCGTCTGAACTCTGATTTGTTTATGTGGGAACCTTCGTCCCCCTATTTGACCGGCACACCCATGCAAGAGAAGAGTTTTTTGGGAATGCAGAACTTAGGGCTAATGGATTCTGTTTATATTTCAGCAGTCCAGCAACCGGATAATGATCCTTTTGCCGAACCATATGAACAGCAACAAAAGAAAACACAACAGCCAATAAATTACGCCGACAATGATGATGACGAGGACGATGGTGACGATGAGGAAACCAATGATGAGGACGACGGTGGATTAACAAATCGCCGACGACGCAAACAGACAAATAACTTTAAATCTCTTTTAAGTTCCACAAAAGATTTGAACACCCGTCATGGCCACAGATGTTCAGTGGAAATAAAAGTAGGTAAAGCCACAGCCGCCATCTTTGTACCCGTCCGTGATTCTGAGAATCATATATTGCCCGAAGTTTTGGGTAAATTTCTACTTTACATCGACGATTTGAAAATATTCAGTTTGACTGGCTACTGCGATGATCCCTGTTTGGCATATTTTTGTCTTCAGGTCAATGAACTTGAAATGTACCATGGCGGTGTGGCGCCCATGAACTCTCCTTTACGTTGTGATAGTAAAGCTCACATTGAAGACTTTATGAAAGCCACAATTTATAAAATACCCTTGGGACTAACCAAAGGCATTATTGGCCAGAAGCAAGGCGAACGCAGTGAAATGGTCACTGTGGCTATAGAAATTAAGAAAAATCTGCCACAACACATAAAACGTCTGAAAATCACGGCTGGCATTAAAAATACCACATTGCGTTATATACTCATGCCGCCCTCCTACTTTTGGCTTAATCAACTTTTGGATTTCCTCGATGTCCTAGATTATCCCATTGAAGGGTATGAACCGTTCAGTGTAGTATCCGAAATGCAGTTACATTTGTGGGATTGTGCCATTGATTTTCGTCCCGACAACTTTGCCTATCGTGCGGTGCTAGAGCTATTCTATTTCTCGGTGAGCAGCAATATTATATCCACCATGACGGGTTGTAACTTGCGATTCGTATTGGAAGAATGTGTCTTCTCCATTGCTCCCCACGATACCACGAAGGTGCTTCCCTGCAATCGTGTAACCTTTATTGATGCTAGCAATATGGTACCCGTTTTGGATTTTGGTCTGTTGGAGATATCACTGCGCATCAGTGGTGAAACAACGGAGAAATATCCTAGATTAGATCTCCGATGTTCCCTGCAAGATGTCCACTTGCGGACGTGTTACGACTCGGGCAGTGCGTTTGCCCAATTAATTGGCTATATAGCCAATAATATAGCCAAAGATGAAGAGGCCAGTGACAAGGAATCCTTACAATCTTCATTGTGTTCAGAATCAGACTTACTTTTGGCAGAATCACAAACATGTGCAGATCTCTGCGATCGCCATCAAGAACGTGTTAATCAACTAATGGCGGAGGCCGTAAAGGATGGTGAAGATGTTTTACAGGCCAGTGAAATGTCAACATCATCCACCACAACAATTCACCCGAAAGAAGATGAATTGAAATTATTCTATTTTCCTGATGAGGCCTCGAAAGATGTGTCCGCAACTCAATGTGTAAAACACGAATTTGATATGCCATGTACATCTTCAAGCGGTGCATTAGGCGAACCTTTGCCGCTAATCAAAGGTGATTTTGGTGTTGTATCTGAAAAAAGTTCGGCAAAAGAATTACAAAGTCAATGTTCTTCCGAGGAAGACTATTGCTTTATTGTGGGCGAAGAACGCGTGGAATTGGATTTCGAAGATATTAAAGTGTCCGAAGATCCTTTGCGCATTGTCGACAATCATTTTGGCTTGCCATCCTCGCATAATGATATTTTAAAAGCTCCTCCCACATTTCCGCAGGCTGATCTTCGTTACACATTATGTGAAATGACGGTAACCTGGCATCTATATGGAGGACATGACTTTGCACAAACTCTCGGTGGCATAGCAAACACATCCACAGCGCCGGCTGAGACAGCTCCCATGTCTGAGGCCTATCGTCATGGTGTTTCAAATGCCAGCAATCAATGCCGGCCGCAGTCGACCAAAAAACCCAAAGAGAAATTAACCTGGAAATCTAAGGGTGGTGAAAATCGTAACCACGAAGTACTTGTTGAAATCCAACTCAGCAAAGTGGGTTTCTCTTACGAACTGTATCCCCTGCAAGCGGCATATGCTTCGCGACAGGTATTCCTGGTAAATGAACTGGAGATAAGGGATCGCCTACAAACTTCGGAGATCAATAAATTTCTCTACAATGCCAATAGCAGCAATTTCTCTAATCGGCGCATGAAACATATGGTGGTTGTTAAGTGTTTGCATGTCCGACCGAATCCTGAACAAAGTCCAGCACAAGAATGCTCTCTAAAGATATCCCTTTCACCACTGCGTTTGCACATAGATCAAGACACCCTGGAATTTATAACTGATTTCTTTACCAGTTTTGGTAAAAATTGTGACAATGATAAACCCGAAGGGGAAAAGTCAAAAACGCCAGCGCCCCCACCCACAGCCACTCTGTGTAGTGAGCTTGATTTGCCGGAAGCTGTACAAGACCTACGAGCCAGGCGAATTGTAAATGAAAATTTAGCCATACTTATCGATGACACCCAATCGGAAAGCAATACAAGTCCAAAGAAATCCGCAAAACATTCTCCGCCTACAGATTCTTCACCGACCTATTTCCGTGAAATAATTTTCAGTCCTGACATTTCCATATGTTTCGATTATCATGGCAGGCGTGTGGAATTGTCCAAGGGCCCAGTGGCTGGTCTACTCATGGGGCTGGGTCAGTTGCAATGTTCCAAAATAATTCTACGTAAGATAGTGTATCGTCGTGGTTTGCTGGGTTTTGAAAAAGTATTCAATTACCTCTGCAAGGAATGGCTAAGGGATATCAAACGCAACCAATTACCCAAGATATTAAGTGGTGTCGGACCCACTTATGCCTTTGTGCAACTATTTCAGGGTATCTATGATCTTTTCTGGCTGCCCATTGAACATTACCAAAAAGATGGCCGAATCATACGTGGGCTCCAGCTGGGTGCACAAAGTTTCAGTGCTCGCACCATATTGGCTGCTTTGGAAATTACATCGCGGCTCATACAACTGCTGCAGTTCACTGCAGAGACAGCCTTCGATATGGTGTCGCCCGGTCCATCGGTAAGGCAATTGAAACGATCTAGACGTGGCAATAAACGGCGTCCACATAGACCCAAAGATATACGTGAAGGTGTTGTGAATGCCTATCAAATTGTCAAAGATGGCATCAACGATTCGGCCAATAATCTCATAGAGACGGCCGTTGCTGAACATGACCAAAAAGGTTTAACCGGTGCTGTTGGAGCTGTTATGCGTCAAGTTCCGCAACTGGTAGTGTGCCCGGCCGTCTTAGCCACCCAGGCAACAACCAATATATTGGGCGGTGTGAAAAGTTCACTGGTACCTGAATCGAAGATTGAAGCGAAAAAGAAATGGAAAGATGAGAATTGTTGAAGGATTTAACTATTAGAATCGGCAAGGACAAGTGATTATGGAACCTTGGGCAATGTTTTGCAATAAATGTGGAAATGAATGGACACAAGTTGCTGGTGATTTTTTTATTATAGAATGTGTAATTTTACAATTATATATGATTAAATACATAAATAAAACATACATATATAAATATATACTTTAGATTGTAAGAGAAAGAGAGAACAAACCAAGTAACATGTAATAAAGTTGTTAAATTTTTTATTCAAATAAATAGAGGTAGTTTTATTCTTTTTTTGCTGCAATTGGGATTCTACAGATATATAACTAAATCTTCTATTTCTAAAAGACCAACTAAATTTGGTTGAATGTATGCGAAACGTCGTTACCAGTCAAAATATTCTATACTTTTTGTGGGAATAGCACAAGTTTCAGCTTTATTTCGGAATATATCATTTGTAATTCAATTCGGAAAATGTGAATGTGAAATTTAGATGTTTTATTTTAAATTCTGAAATTTGACTTCTAATTTAGAAATTTTATTTGAAATTCAGAATACCTATTTCATAAAAAAATAAAATTATAATTTCTAAAATAGTAGTAATTTCATAGTAGGCCTTCAGAAGGAATATACCAAATGGTTGGAGGAAGATAAACAATTGTTGAAGTTCGATCAAATTTTGGATGTTTCTTGTCAAAATTAATTGGAGACAATATTTTCCTAATCATCCACGTCTTTTTCAAGATAGCCACCATATGGCCCCAAATGAAAATTAAATTTTAAATAAAATGAATCAGCGACTGCAGTGAAGTCATTTAACACTTTTCATCATTCTATAATATTGTATATAAACCTTGTCAACTTACAGCGTTATCAAAAATTCGACGTTTGTCGAATTTCGACGTTTCTCACCATACAAGCTAAACTCATGTCTGCAAGGATGTAAAATTTTTTTACTACGATAACAGATTTCCCGATTTTTTTTACATGCCCGGAGCAAATGTTATTTTTTTTAATTTTAACAATGCGTCTTTGATTTGTTCGAATTCAAGTATGTAATTTAGATAATAATTGTTTGTCGAATAAATAATATTGTATCAAATAACTTCTGTCTAAATTTTCAGAGTAGTCATGTATAGAAGTTTTGGGAATCGCCTATGGCCCTATAGGCTAGACTGTATTAATTGAAAAAAGTGATAAGTAAATAAATAAAATTCATTCATTCAAGAAGTTACGAAACAGAAAATCCGCTTTTTTACAAAAGAATTTTTTTTATATAAGCATTTTCACACATTTCCCAAGAATAAACAATTGGATAGTTGTATGCTTCTACATACACCATATTGAATTGCAATGTATTGCAAATAAAAATTAAATAATTTCAAAACGCGTTAATTTATCATGAACAATGTTTATTTAAAACTACATTGTTTACAAATGCTTTGCAGGCTATAAGACATTTATCATAGACCTCTTCGAAAGGTGCCTCACCTAGAAACTAAAAAATGAAAAAGATAAAAGTTTACAAAATCAAAATATTGTTGTTAACTCCAAAGCACGTACATAATATGGATCATATATATTTTTTTCCGATTCTGCAAGACCAAAATCTCCCAATAGCATGATTCTTGCTTTGCAATTAGGTGGAGCAATTTTCTTCAGTTCAGCCACATTATCGTTGTCCATACCAAAGATGTAATCGCACTCCACAAAATCGTTTGAATTAATTACCCGGGCTTCTTTGTCATACTGAATACCATGGTTCTGTAGAACACTTAACGCCCTTTCTTCCGGTAGAGAACCGGAATGATACCCTACTAGGGCTGCACTATCAACTAGCCATTCTTTGTCTACTCCTTGCCTATGTAGAGCTTTCCTCATTATGGCCTCTGCCATAGGCGAACGGCAGATATTTCCTGCAAGCAAAAGGCAATAACTAAAATAAATGTTTGCAATTTAAATATGCAAAGTATTTTACCCATACAAACCATTAAAATCTTTTTGGTCATATTGTAGTCTTCTTAAGATCTAAACCATCGGACTGCACTTTGTACGGCAGATTTGGGACCAGCGACATTTACTTGGACAAAGCCAAGGTAGATCTACTAGGTAGTCGCATCACCCCAGCTGACGGCACCTTTAAATGTCAAAACAAGTTGTTGTAATGCTGAAAATAAAAATAAAAAAAAATATAAAAATTTAAATTCAAAAATGTAATTTTATTCAAATCCTAGGTGTTGAGATTATGTTCATCACTGGCCTTGAAATTTAATTTATCGTGGACATTTCCAGGTGGCGCAGACGAACCAGCGGTTGCATCAGACCTCCTCTTTGATAGTCATTTTACTTTGCTTCCAGCTTTTCACGAGAGTTATGACTCAGTTGGTCTTATTCAAACTTCCACTAGCCCCAGCTTTTCCAGTCTTCTGTGGTCTGTGAAAACTCTTTGTATGGGTTGGTGAATTTGCATCGGCTCTCCTACCAAGAGGGGTTTGGTATCCAGCAAGTGGCTACTAGCTTCGTAAAGGGCTACTACTACTGTTGGCGATATTGGTGCTATGTTCTTTCTTTAAAACAATTTGATCAGGAACACTTGCTACTGTTGTGCCATGTGCCATCTTCACACATCTTCAAAATTCCGCAGATATTGCAATGATAGTGAAATAAACAAATTTTTTCATCTCTTCTTTCTATATCTGTTTTGAACACGATGTTAACATCTGCAATTGGAACGATTAAAAGCACACAAAAACGCGCCAATTTCATAGATTGGGGGCAACATTCAACGATTTCATATAATTGTTTGCTCTTTGAATATAAGGGGGTTGTGTTCTCTTGAAGCACTGCTCACACAAATTTATAAAAAACACAAACCTCTGCATCAATGTTTAGTCAATTTATGGCCAGTGTTCATGTTACGGTATCTCACACCTGTTTGCAACGTTTTTATGCTTGACAACTACGCAATTTGCAACTTCTTTATTAAATTTTTTGCCAGTAGGCAGGTTAAGTTCGTAAATGGGCCATGTAGGTCCACGTTTTCATATAGCCACCATATAACGGTTCCTCACGATGTTCGGTATTTTGTTGATATTAGCGACATTGTTTCAAATTTGGTATTTGAGTTTCGTAATGGATACTACAGGCTATGACAGAAAATTGTCTGTGCAGGTCCACGCCTTCGTATAGCCCCCATATAGCAGATCTTGCATTAGCATCAGGATCCGGGAGGGGCCTGAAGGAATGGTCCGATCTCCACCATCTTACAAATGACGCCACTTTATCCTTGGTTGTCCAAGGTGTATGCATAGCAAAGCAATTAGAATTACATACTTACCTGTTTTTATGTATTTTAAATAATAATCCTGTCCAACAAATTTGTCCAATCCAATTCTTATTCAATTCCTTGATTGTTTTATTGGTTTTATCCTCCTTTTGGTCTTATTGGAGGGTGTTCATCAGTTGCTTCAAGCGCGCGCTTTCGTTTGGTTGGTTGTTCGTTGCGAGCGTTGGAAACAAAAATGAAGAACGTCGCAACGAAACGAATGTGAAGGCCACAAAGGAATACCCGATAAAAAATAAACAGAAAGCAAAGACTCGGAGTACTCTGTTGTTTACGAATGAGACATAAGTAAAATACAATGTGTTGAAAACATTCATTAAATGAGCCGAGGGTCTACTTTAGAAAGTGATGTAAAAACGACTTCACGCGTAATGGTCAACTGTTAGCATTAGCAGTGACGTAAATTGTTCGACGAATGACAAGTTTGAAAGGATTCTGTACGTTTCTAATAAAATGAGTAAATAGAAGTACACCCACAAGCCAAAGTTTCGACGTTATATCTGTAAGTACCCTAGACTTGGTAGTTAAATTCATGGTATAATAATTACAAGGTATGAATGGCAGAGTTATTAAATTTGAAAAACACATCCCTAAAGCTAGAGTCTTGTAACCATGGTACAATGATATCAAGAAAATCGCAACGAATGGAACGCCGTGTTCATAATGCAATTGCAATTTCCCAAAAGCTGTAATATGAATTTAAATGTCCACATAATTTTTTAAATTATTTTGTTTATTACGGCTTTACCAAGCATGGCTCAATAAAAAAGGTTGCTCAACTTCAAAGAAATTAAAAACATACAACTTTGTGCTGGAGCCTTATAGAGTCAAATAGACTTTTAAATATGCAACAGTTGGGTTTGTTTATTTTTCATTTTTATAGCACCATTTTTATTTTGGGGAAAAACCGCGAAAAAAGAATGGAATTTTGGGGTTATTTCACAAGATTGAATCTTAAATTGTATATGAGAGTTATAATTATTTCAAATTTTAACCCTTTGTGGGGGAGCTACTTGAAAAAGTGGGTTGATAATATCCATTTTCACACCTAACTTAGCACTGACAAAAATATTGTGTTTTGCCAAGTATACACAAAATAATATTATATTATGATAATATTACGATGTATTGAGTTTGGACCAATTCGGATACTCCCTTCGAGAGTTATCGCGCGACTTTTATATTTCACTTAGTTCACTTGTTAAAAAAAGTTTATTTGTTTTTAATTTACTTTTAAAAACCGTTTATTTGCATATAGAGCGGGAACACTGACTACCTTAAATCGAATTTTACATTGATATTTATAATATTCTGCTTAGCTGCTGTATAAGCATTTTTATTATTTAGTTTATTCTAATCGGCTAATAACCTTAATTTGTAGTAAACCATCATTTATTGCAAAATTAGCAATTTTAAAAAAATTATAATTAAAATTATGCCCTAAATTTAGTAGACTATCATTTAATGCAGAATTGGCAAATTATTATAAGAATGCATTTTGATTGGGTGTAATGCCATAAATGTTAATATACTGATAAAAATGCAATGTTAGGAAAATTAATATTGAAAGATAATTAACAAAAGTGATTAACCTTATAAAAATGCTTATGCAACAAATTTACAAAAGTTGTAGTTTATTTGTTTATTTCTTATTTAAAAAATTATTTTAAAAAATATCTATGGGGTCATTATATATAACTACCCCTCCATTTGAACAAGAATTCTCCTGAATTCGATTGATTAATTTAAGATTTATGCTTTTATGTTTAAATAGTATGAACAAAATAATTGTTACAATAATCAATAAAATTACAATATTATATCCAAATGACAATTTGTTGTGATAGTTTAATCTGTTTATATTTTTCACATTGTTTTCGTGTTCTCCTAAAATTTTTTCAAATAATATTTGATGACTAAAACTTTTAATCGTATTATATTCTTTTATAGCCATTTTTCTTTCATATTCTTTAAAATTTGAAAAATAATAATCTTTAAAGTTCCTATTTAATATAGTATCGTTGGAATTGCAAGTATTATTTATATATAAGTTTTTTGAATTTTTAACAACGATTGTATCTAATTCTAATTGAACAATTTCTAAATCTTTATTTGTTGTCATTTTACAATTGTTTTTTAAATATTTATTTTCTTCAAATGCATATGTTTTATTATATATAGTCAAAAATTTGTTCAATACTGTAATCTATTTCATAGCTTTTATTATTCGTTAATGGTACAATTGTCCTTAATTCTATTTCAATAAATTCTTTAGGTATTTTCAGTCCGAAAATTAGATTAAAATATGCTGTCCCTGTCGGTATGTATTTAATTTTATGCTAGTCAATTTCGTACTTCATCAGTTGTCAGAATGCTGGGATGTACTAAACCATATTTAGCAGATATTATATTGTCCTGAATTTGTTCCAATTTATTTTTTATGAGTTGAATATTGGTTAACTGTTCTAGAAAAGCTGTATTTTCATTTTCCTCATTTAAATATTTATTTATCGAATTTAATTCTGTTTCTATAAGTATACGATCATTATTTGTTACTGTTTTCAAATGGGTCAACGTCAAGTTAAAAAAGTCATTTATAATAAT